CGGGCATCCCCCGCGCACCTGCCCCGGCGGAGAGAGGCCGCCGCCCGCCTCGTGCCCAGTGCGGTCTCCGCGGGGCTGAGCCCTGCGCCCGCCCCTCGGGGCTGTGGGGCAGCAAAGCCCCTGCCCAGGCGCCGCCAGGCGGCTGGCTCGCCACTGGGTCCTCGAGTCACAGAGGTCGTCGAGGCCAAGCCCCTGCCTGAGGCAGGACTGTCCCCATCCAAACCGCCCCATACAATCCGTCATCTAAGCCCTACCTAAGAGTACTGTCAGCCCCAGCACAAGACAGACCGAGGTCCAGGCAAGAGGTGGTCCAGCTGGAACTGAAGAAGGTCCCGTCTTCTGATAGCTCGTGGGACTAGCTGTAATGGCTCTTCTTTCCTCAGCCAACCCAGAGATAGTGAGAGCATAGGGTGACACAACTGCCCAGCGTAAGGACAGACTCCCAAGGATGTCATGCCATACTGTAACTCCGAACCCTAGACACAAGCCTGTTTCACCTGTGGGATTGCCAAAGATATTGGCATGCAGGCTTGGATGGACCCAGGAGTCTTCACCATGATTTATACAGTGTATCTAGCTGCTCTTTTGCAGAAAAGTAACTTAAATGCAGCTAAACAGCAACAGTATAGAAGGAATTGTGAACCATGAATTTCTTACTTCCAATCATATGGTCATAGCATTGAAGCAGGATGCCTTACACTTTCCGAGTCTCTGTTCTGAGCAAGTGTCTGTGTACAAGAAGGTGGTATGAGTGGGTACCTCTGAAATGCCTTTGAAACTATCACCTCACTGAAACATATTAGGTAATAAGTCTTCAAAATATCACATGTAAAATTCAACCGAATTTGTGCCGGTAGGAAAGCTGCAGTATTTTTGTTTGTCTTACATAACGGTCTCAATTTCTAATCCTGCTTTAGGAAAGAATTTACTCTAAGAAAAGAATTCAAAACCATTGCAATATTTCCCTAATTTCATGCTTTGAGTGGCACTACCAGCAAAGCAATTTGATACATTGTCTGACTCGTTAGTCATGTCATACAAGTCAGCCAAATCCATTTGCTTCCTAGTCAATCTCTTGAAATAATACCTTGAGTCTCACACACGCAACGCTAAAGCACCAAATCCTTATTTTCGTTATGAAAATGTCTTTCAGATTTTGGCATCTTTTTACAAGCCAAGCTAAAATGAACTAAACTGCAACTGCAACAGAAAGAAATTCCTTTTCTGTGATTGGGGCCTATAAATTCCTGGAAATTCTTTTTTAAAGAATAATAAAATATTAAAATGTCATATAACCAATTTCTATTAACTTTAGGGAAAATACATTGATTCTACATTTTTCCCAGCTTTCTTCAAAGTCTTGTGAACTGAAGACTTTAAAATTGTCATTTAAATAAGATCATGCCATTAGTTTCAAGCAGAACTTCCCCTTAAAATTAATGGAAAGTAGTTTTTAAAAGAAAGAATAAAAAACACTGTTTGATCCAGAATCTAGGAAAAAGAGATTAAAAGGTCTTAATTTGTTCAAGCCAGAATTTTGTTAACACTTTTATCATCCAAAGAAAGTTGTTCCATGCAAAATACTATCTCACCAATAAAAGAGAATGAGTAAAGATTCTTAAAGAAACAGAAAAAAGATAGATTTCAGTTATTTCTGGAAAAGGTGGATTTCATATATTGCAAGGTTGCCTCTTGAAACTTTTCTATCCTCAACAGTAAAGTCTACAATATACTACCTTTATGAAATATCTGAAGGACCATAAGAAAAGTGCTAAGCACTGGTGTTCTCAGTACAGTCAATATTTCTCAGGATCAGGGTGCCATTATGACTGATAAAGCAACTGTCCTCAAGAGAAAAGAAAAAAAGTCCAAGATACAGAAGTTTCAGTGCTCCTGGCAGAAATGTTGTCAAGGGGAAAGAAATGTATAAGCCTGTAGAGCTCATCCAAAAAAAGGCAATATTCAGCCAACAGTAGAAAGTGAAATTTCAACTCCTGCAGAAATGGGAACTGAAAAATACCCAAGTAACAATGCAAATATCCAAGCAACTACAGGTGGCTCATTTGGATCAATGGCAGATCCAGAGGGCGTTTTGTCTGCCTCTTCCAGCACTGCCTCCTAACCCACTCCCTCTTTCTCCCTCCTTTCTGCCTTTTGTATTCACTTTTTTCTTTCTTATACACTACTTCGCAGACGTCCTTTCACAGCACCTGATCAAGTGAGCTTCCACCAACAAAAAGATTGTGTTTTATATTATATAACCTATTTTTGGATAGTCTACGAGGTGCAAGTCTACACTGCCTTCTACTTGGCTTCAGACTAACAAGGCTAACTATGTCTCTCTGCAAATGGATATCATACACCCTCCATATACACCATATTTGATAAAGAATCACATTTGTATGACGGAAAACTGAGTCCTTTGTCCAATGGTTATTGTAACAGGGACTCGGGCAGGAGCTCTGTTACTTAGACAGAGTTGGACAGGATTGACCCGACAATTAACTCTGGCGGACATTACACACCCGGGAAAGGTTCGGGTGATTAGCCCATGAAAACTGGCGGATAAAAGATGGTGGCGGGACATTGATTTTGCCTTTGGGCACAAGAAGACGAATGAGGAATGACAGAGACTTTAGAGGGGGAAGAAGAAGCCAGACATGAAATCCAGAAGAACTCCAGGGGTGCGGGACTCCAGGAATGGCAACAGGTCACTCTTAGAGGGAGATTGCCTCTTGGAGAATTTCAGCTGCACTGGTGAGTGCAGGAAGATCCTGCGGCACTGGGAGGCAGATGCCACAAATCAAGAGAAAGAGAGAGAGAGAGAGAGAGAGAGAGGGATAGTGCCCCTTGGATAAAGTGCGGGGCAGGGGTAGGACCTAACCTAAAGGCCTGACCCCATTGGGACTTTTAAACCTAAAAATGGAGAGACTGGCTGGGAGAGAGCAGCCAGAGATCACTCCCAAAAAAAGAGAGAGGGAGAGATGCAGAAAGCGCGTACCACTAATGAAGTAACTAGTGGCAGAAATTGTTTGCAAAGTAGCTGCAAAATATCCAGCTCGGAGATTTCTCATTTATAACACTGGCTTCCCTCGTCAATGAAGTAATTGGTAAAATTGCTGTAGCTGTATCACTTTTATTTTGGAAATAAACTAGCACTGTGAGCTTTAACACTGGGGTGACATTTATCTATCCTAAACATCAAAGAACGCTGATCTCTTTTCTTTTCTTCACATCTAAGTCATGGCAGGCGAGTACAGAGGGGAGATGAAGATAAAAGTGCAGAACCCTCTCACAAAGTGGTGCATTGGCTGGGAATAGTTTTCATATACTTCCAGGCAGGATGGAGTCCATGGATACACAAGATCCCACTGACTGGCAGCAGGCTCATAGTATTGCCCTGCAACTCCTACAGGGACAACAAGCCCAGCTGGAAGAGATGGTGTGAATGAAGACTCAAGAGGCAGAAGCAAGGATCCGGCTTTTATCCCATCAACAAGATTTATGCAAGAAAATTGAGGCACAACAGATGTCACTGGGGAGAGAGGGAGACGAAACCTGGTTGCCTCGTATGTCTCCAAATGATGACATGGAAGCATACCTAGAAGCCTTTAGAAGGGTGGCTACAGCCACAAAATGGGACCCAGGAAGCTGGGCAACTCGGATCAGACCTCTTCTTATTGGACCATCACAAGAAGCTTACCATGCCCTCAGCGGGACAGAGGCTAGAGATTACCAGAAGCTAAAGGTGGCAATATTATATCGATTAGAAATTTCCTCTGGGACTTATCGCCAGAAATTTTGGGCTAAGAAGGGCCCTGAAGGGACTCGACCCCATCTACTGGCCCAGATGCTAAGAGATCTGGCAGAAAGATGGTTGCAGCCTGAGACACGTACTCTCTCAGAAGTGATAGATGTTATAGTGCTAGAGCAATTCCTTACTGACCTTAGCAGTAGTTCCCAGCAATGGGTACAACACCATCAACCTAAGACTGTAGAAGAAGCTCTACGACTTGCTGAAGTTTATGCTGCAGCAGAAGGAGAGGACGAGGCCCCTAGGAGAGACTACTCAGGAGATCCAACATCTGGAACCCAGCAAGGAACATCTAACCAGTCTCAGCATGGAGAGAATACTCAGAATTTGGGACAAGAACTTCGAACCTGGGATTCGAGAGAAGTAACATGCTACAGATGTGGGGAGAAAGGGCACATCTCACAGTTCTGTGCACCAAAAGTCGAGACCAAAACTGCCAGTGATAATACTCAAGATGAAAAAATGCATTGCAGTTTCGGCCAGCATAAGGGGCCAGGCCATCAAAACAAACTGGTGGTTGAAGTAAGAATAGGAGACACTATCATACCTGCAGTGATCAATACCGGTTGTTCCCAGTCAATGATTCAGGCCGATATTTTTCCATCTCATCTAGGGAACCCAGAGAACCCAGTGAGCATGATCTGTATTCGTGGGGCTTCTTACACTTATGAACGCAGGAGGATTCAACTGACGGTACTCGATCACACAGAAGAAATTGCCATAGGCCTAGCTGAAACACTGCCTTGCCCCGTGCTCTTGGGAGTAGATTGGCCATATCTAGAGGAAGTTCTTGCACGAGTCATCACCAAGAAAGGGGGTGACTGGGAAAGGGACCCCAGAACAGCCTGCTTCGGAGAGCCACAGAAGGATGAACAAGATGACCTAAATATAGAGCAACCGATAGGTGAAGGGTAGTTT